GTTTGATAACTATTTGGACATTATAAAGATTTTGCATGTGAAATTTCAAAATTTTATGATGCATAAAAGTATTTTTTAATGTTAAAATGAAAATTACTTTGCATGATAGATAGGCAAGATGTGAAAAGGAAAAAAAGGCATGAGAAAAACAATGCTTTACAAACCTTACGACTTAATAAAAATTTTATATTTTGCATATGAAAGCATTGTTATGTTTACTAATAATCTGCCAAATTTCTTTAACATTTGCTTACTAATTTAAAATGGTTTAAAATAGTTCTTCCAGTATGTTTATTAATAAGTCTAATATATCTTCTTTTAGCTTAGTTAAATGTGAAGCAGAATTAATGTTTAGTACTTTTCTTTCCTTTGACATTTTACATTATTCGTTAGAAAAATTTTTGAATTACTATTTTGGAACTACAGTCTTCTCTGTACCAGATCTCATTGTGACTAATAATTCAATTCAAAACTTACTACATCTATATTTGAAACCTGTTTCATGTCTCTTTAGACCTTTGAACAGACCTTGCCAGTAAAAAGGGGTCTGTCTTTTTTTATTTTGTTCCATTATCCTTCCTTATTTAAAAAGAAACCTATCTTTAGCTTTCTCAGTTGTCATTTTTAATGTTTCTACTCATCTAGTGTTATAGCTCATAAATTTGAAATATTACATTTCTAGAGTTCAAGTAGAATTAAAGTAGCTTCTTCGTTATCATGCCAATTCATATTTGTACAAATACATGTACTACAGTTGATCTCTTCTGTGAAAACTACTCGTGTGATGCTTTTACTAATCGGTTAAGGGAAATCTTATGAATAGGAAGTAATTTGAAAATGTGAATTCACACAGTTTTATTACAAAATGACACTTAAAGCAGGAGAGCCCTTGTATGAATCTCTATCCATTTTAATGCTAAAACTGCAAATTTTAGGAAGTAATTCTATAATTTTAAAACATTATTGGTAAAACTATTGTTAGAAAAATGAGTGTTTTTAGTCATGTTTTTTGTGTGTAATTTCTGAAATTAATAAAGTTATCAACTTAACCTACAGCAGAAATATTTAGCTGGCAAGTTCCTTTGGAATGGTTCACCACGAAACGACGGGGAAAGGAACGTGGTGACAAGGCTCTACCCAGAAGTGTTCGGTATGGCAAAGCATTATGATAACTGAAATATAGCTGATATAGAAATAGAGAAGAACTATTATTCTGTATTCCTTGATCTCTTAATATATAAGTACTAAAACATAATTAATATCAAAATGTAACAAAACTAAACAGATACAAACATGTGAATGAATTCAGGTTAATCACCATTCTCATATTTGAAATGCACAAATTCTTATACATAAAAAAGGCACTTAAAAAGGTTTTTCTAATACTGGACAACTAAATAAGTAAGAATCACTGTTACTGAAATGAAATTTGTTAAAACTTGTTTCTTTAATCCTCAAAGCTCCACACTGTGTAAAGAAAGTTTTGTTGTAAAATCAAACTTGGTACTGGTTTTTTTCTGTTCTTGTTTTCTTTACTTTTTTTTAGGAGATATTATAAAACTCAAGATGAGCTTATTACGACTTTTGAAGAACTGCAACTGGAAGTTGATGATGCCATGGAAAACACTAATGAAAAGACCAGCTTGAGAAGAAAAGCAACTTTTATGTCAAAAGTGTCATTTGTGTGCAATTTGGTAGGTTTTTATACACATTTAAAAACAAAAAGTGGAATAACTGACTTTTTTTAAAAAGGTTAATTTTGAAATCACATACTGCAGTTTCCAAGCAGGAAACCATAATGAGGTTTCTAGTAGGTTGTACCATGCAAATAAATATTCCCTCTCAAATGATTGTTTAAAAACTACATTTACTGACAATATGTACTATCATAACATCAAAAAAATTGATTTTAAGAAGAACAATATAGGAAAAAGTAGCAAAATGCAAGTAAATTAATCATTTTACATAGATTTCTTTGGCAGGGTTAATCATTCCGAGTTTCAAATGTTAAGGACTTTTGCAGTAGAATACATGAGATTCATCTTGCTCTTACTTGTAGTTTTTCCTTCAGTTTTTTAGTAATTGAATTTTGTTGATAGAATAACAGTGTAGCTGTTATATCACATTTTAAGTGAACTTTCAGATACTTTTAAACAGTACAGTATCGCTCTTTTTTAATCAGAACTTCAAGTTGTGGTGGTAGGGTCAGTTTTTCTCTTCCTAAGAATATATTTTATTTATTAAAGTTTCTTTACAGGATGGTTTAGTATAAGTTTAGTATTACATTTGTCATGTACCTTTTGTGGTAGATCTCAGATCTCATTTACAGATCTCATGTTTAGTTAATGAAATAATTTTAAATATATCCTTGGAAACTAATTTTTTTTTTTTTTGCATGAAAATTCATAGAAATTCTTGGTCTTTTGTGAGAATTGAGCTGTGATGTATTCAGGTTGCTCTGATTTCCTTTAGAGCAATAAAGCAGGTTTAGAGAATAACAGGAGATTCAACAAGATATTTATTGCAAAATATTTCTGAATTACCTACTTAAGTTCATGAGAGTAAACTATGGAGACTGTACACAGTTGTGCAGAAATACAAGGAATAATCTTTATGTACGTATACTTGCTTGGTTTACTTTCCAGTGCTATGTCTCAATAGTATGTAAAGTAATAAGCTGCCATTTTGGTACTTAAGTCGTTGTTCTTTTCTGGCATCAGGAATTAAATAATCAGTAGCAGAATTCTGCTAAACTAAGACTTTACAGCAAAAATTCTCATAGGTCAGGATTAATATTTGTGCTGTTACGACAAGATATATCAATATGCTCAGAGGAAACACACTCCCTCACTGCATGTAGAGATGTTATTCACTTGTCTTGCTTTGATTTGTCACTCTCCTCCTTTAACTAGATCTGCATCCTTCAATTGCTGTTCCGAGAACTCATGAACTATTAATTATGGCATCCATCTACTAGTAGAATATCCTACTGTATGGCTTGTTGTCACTATGGCAGAAATTATTTCAACTCCCACATGGTGTCTAGGGTCTGGACATTCAACCGATGGATAGGATGCTTCATTGTGTTGCAAGACAGTCCTTTTCCATGTTGAGAGTTCAAATGATATAATATGAGTAAATCATACTCCTGCAATACTATTATCCAATGTGTCATCTTCCCTTCCAGATTTTTAAAATACATTAGGTATTTCAGCAGTGCATGGTCCACCTGAATAATGAACATTCTACCATACAAGTAGTGTCAATAGTGTTTTAAAAAGACTGCAACTCCAATAACACTGCTTTGATTTCACTATCACTGGTATCAGTATCTTAAGAACAACTCCATTCTGTCATAGAGATGCCAGCAATGGGGCTTCTTTTAAAGCATGTTTCAGTGACTCATTACTTGTTCGTATTCCTCAGTCTATCTGAAGAGTGTCTTAAATCTAGTGAGAGCTGATAACGATGTGATAATCTTGGAGAATTTGGCCACAAACCATTGGTAACAATGATGAAGGCTTGAGGAAACCGCAAACTTCTAATTTAGTCACAAGTTGAGGCCAATCTCGCATCGCCACCATTTCAGCAGGGTCTGTAGAGATGCCATATTTTCCCACACCACAACTGAGAAATTCCACTTTTATGTGCATGAATGCACATTTCCTGGTTTAAATTTCAAGCCTGCCACTTCTACCCATTGGAGTGTCATTTTAAGGTTCTCAGCCACAGATTTGAACATGCATCCAAATAAGATTTCATTGATATAGATGAAGCACCTATCCTATTGCAGTCCCTTCAGCTTAAGCTTCCTCAGCCACTCACTAGTGATGGGCAAGTTACACAGGCCAAATGGTATTACACAAAAGTCATACAAGCCATCTCTCATGGTGAAAGCAGTCATGGGACTTGCCAGTATCCCAATTTGTTCAGGGGGTAGTAGAAATGTATCAAAATGAGTTACCTTATTCACCCATCAAAAATCAATACTTTCCTTCTTTTTATGATTACTACTTGAGATAATCAAGCACTCTTTGGAGGCTGTACAATATCAGCCTTTTACATCCACTGTACCTCAGTGCTTGCTATGTCCCTGGTGCTCCAGGGAAGCCTGCACAGCAGTTTTTAATTGGACGTGTATCACCTGTGTGTATGTGATGTTGAGTTGTTGTTTGATCCAATTTTCCAACTGGTACCACAAATTAATTGGCATATTCAATCAACAAATTACTGAGTTGCTGCACTGTGTTGAGTCTATATTGTTTGCACTGTCCTCAACTATCAAACTCGGATATGGTTGCAACCACATATTCACTTTGTGATGCAGCTTGACAGATGCAACACTAGTGTTACAATTAGCCTTGGTTACATCCTCTTTGCTCACTGTGCAGATGATTGTACCAGTGGAAAGATGGAAATTCAGTCACCCATACTTACAAAACAACACTAGTACTTCATGTCTTTTAATACACATATCTATCTGAGTGAATGATGCTTGCTTTCTGAACAGGAAGCAGCTTATTTGATGTTTGGGATTTATATTCATTTTATAAGGCATTGTCACACTAGACTTCATGTGTAGTAGACCATGGTATATCACTTGTGTACATGGAGATATTGTTATTGCCTCTCTCACATATACTCATGCATTCCACTGTTCCTTGGCCACATCTAGCCAACATCAGATAAATATCCCATGGAATATCAGTTCACCAGTTTCACAGGCAAAACTGATGGATAATCTTGTGCAGTAAGCTCATTGAAAGGATGCTGATGCTACAGCCAAGGTTGATAACTACTTTCATTCTGTGAGTGATGTCTATTAGAGAGAGTTGGAAATTTGTGTTTCCTTTCTCACCTAGCTTATCTCCATTTATCAGTACTAAGTCTGTAATGACAAGCTTGAGTGTTGATTTCGCCTTGAGTGCCTGATGAATCATGAGATTTACCAGTGTTCTGGCCATTCCTGTATCGACCAAAAAATTATATCTCTTGTCCTTGCGTTCTGACAGGTATGTACCAAGGACTAACCAGCTGTGAGAGAGTTGGGCTCTCCACCAAACCTTTTGGTGCAAGACATCCATTATATTACTCTAAGTTGGTGACCAGGCTGGACTTGAGCTTTGTTAGTTTCCTGAATCTGGAGCATCATCATTCACTATCTGTTTTTTGCTCTCCTTTACCTATTGAACTATTGTTCAAACTGTCTACTTTTCTGCTTGGCAAGGTATGAGCAGCTCACTTGAAAGTGACCCAATACTCCACATGCTTTGCTCCACCATTCCAGGGTGATGTCTGGGTGGAAGCATAATTAACATAAATTGTAGCATATACACTATGGAAGGACTGGAATAGCCTTGCCCATGCACTGGGTACCAGTTTGGTAGCATTGCAATGCTGGCCATGTGATAAAGCCATGGACTTTTGCAACATTGTCAAAAATCCAACTGACTCTTCCTCGTGGTCACAAGTTTTTCAAGTTGTGGAGAAATGCTATTTCCTCTAAAAACAAAGACTTTAAAGGTATGGGTGGAGGGTATTAAAGTCCTAGAAGTTTGTCTACTTGCAACTTTTGACTGGTCTGCTCCTCCAAGAACCTTCCATTACAGGTACTGGACATAGTAGTCCTCATACCTGTTTATGCCACCATCTGTGCTTCCATCATCTGGCTTCACAGTTAAACACAAGACCACCCTATCCAACCCCCCTTTTTTGTACAAACTAAATGGTTTCAAGGGCAAAGAAGTGCCCTGTTGAAAAGAATGCTTTTTTTCTGAATGTCCTTTGGTTCAGTCTATATAAGGCATTAGAATTAGAAGTATATGAGGCTTCACACTCTTTCTCAGTAGATGTCTCATAACTCAACTGTGCTAGGAATCATCTGTATTTATTTATTTGTTTTTATTTTATTTGAATGTTCTCGGTACACTGTCCTCAAGTTGTTGAGACCCTATCCTTAGGAGAGCTTCGGTCTTCCTTCAGTTCTTATTGAACATCCACTGATTTGGCCATTTTCTGACTTCTCACTTTTTTTGGATATGGATGAAGAGGGGCTGAAGCCCTAGGAATATATCTATTCATACATTATTATCGGGTTGCTTCCTAGAGAACCTTCCACTACAAAATTGGGACAGAGTATTCCTCTTATGTGTGTATGCTCCCATTGTTGGCTCCACAAATAAACCATCCTAACCAACCTATTTTTTGTATGAACTTAGGATATCCAGGACAATACTCTGCGGAGAAAAATGTTTTTTCTGTTTGTTCTTAGGTCCAGTCTTTATATAAGGCTGGTTCACTCCACTCATTCTCTCTTGAATCCAGTTCTTTGAATATTTTTGATTCTGGATATTACTTTAACTTTGGTTGTCAACATCTTTGGTGCAGTCTTCATTATTAACTTGTCTTTTTTTTACCTATATTTTTTGTCTAATCTTAGCTCTCTCTGTCTGATTCCAACCTCCTTCTCAATGTGACTATTCAGTTTTTCAGAGGTAAATTTACATGATTAGAATTTTACATTTTTAGGATTAAAATGAATTTCAAACAGGTACTTACCTCTGAAATACATTCCTGCTCACCTCCCCATAACTGAATGATATGTAGTTTTCCATCACAACTGCAACTTATAAATCTGAATTATGGTGGGAAGTAGAGCATATGTAAGATATCCTAACATGTGTAATAAGTTGAATGGAAGATGTGAGAGTGTATAATTATGCATTGAAACTAATATATTCAAATCTTTGAGTCAAATGGTTGTTTATAGCATGAGAGTAACTCAACAAGGAAATACTTTCAGTTTTTCATAGGTAAGACTACCTGTTTGAAATTCCTCAAAATATTAAAAATGTAAAAATAAATGTGCTGATAACTCCCATCAGCTTAATTTTTTGCTTTCTGTAGTTTCTCCTAATAATTAAGACTGTAGCTGCATGTTTGTCTGGATCCCTGTCAGTGTTGTCATCTGTGATTGACAGTGGGGTTGATTTAGCTTCTGGTATCTTGATCTGGTGGAGTAACCGAGCCATCAAGAAAAGAGACTTGTACCAGTATCCTCAAGGTAAAAAATTATAGCCCAAACTGAATATCTTACAGCTGAATGCTGAAGTGTATTATAAAACTTATTTTTGTCTCTCAAACTTAAAAACTCAAATAATATACATGAGAGTCATAAATTTTTATTATAGCTAATAGTAATCATATCAGATTTGTAGTACATGCCTGAAATACTGAAATTATTTGAAAGTTTATAATTCAGTCTACTTATCCGTTGTTATTATGCAAATTAAAAAAGAAACTGAAGTGTCATTCATGTATATTTTTTGGTAGAATATGGTTTACCTTTGCAATATTTAAATAGTGTGTATCTTATGTTACTGGCTTTTGAATTAGTTTAGAATATTGTGAGATGTAACAGTATCCAAAAGTTCATGAATTACAGCATAAAAAAGTAAATATTTTACAGTATGATATTGGCCTTTAAATTAATTTAGAATGCCTGGATATGAATTTTCTAGACCAGTTGTGAGATATAATGGTATCCAAAAGTTCATGAATTACAGCATAAAAAAGTAAATATTTCATGGCTCTTGAGCGTATATCACTGCTTAATGTAAATTTTTAAAGAGAAAAATTTTCATAATTTAAATAATAATATGATTTGATGATTTTTAACACCAGAGTCTTGTGGAATAATTAATTATGTGTATATTTTTTAACCTGACAGGTCGAACTCGCCTTGAACCCATAGCCATAGTTATACTGTCAGTGATCATGTCTCTTGCATCAGTTCAGATGGTACGAGAAGCAGTAGAAAATATAATATTTTATACAGTACACAGTGGAATAATTAGGTTTCAAGCTGAAACTATTGCTATTTGTTTGGTTACCATTGGTAAGTCTGTAAAGATTTCATTAATGTCCTGTAATTCAATAATAAAGAATAGCAGAAGTTGTGGTGTGTATTAGACAAATCCTTTACTGATAGATTTCAATTTGATGTTGTTTTATATTTGATAATCATGAATTAAAGTTTATTAATTATCTGGTATAAAAAGGAATAAAGGAAATTTTATAAATGAATAAGCTGTAATAAAGACCTTTTTTAAAACACCATAAAGAAAACAAGTTATGACAAAGCAACTGTTGGTAAAAAGTTAAGCATGTGTTATATTTGGCTTATAAACAAATGACATTATTATACAACTATTCTTTGTGAGACAGAAATGGAAACATAGGTATTGCTTGCCAGTTTTTTCTTAATTTATTAAGTATAAATAGCTTACATGGTATATTGTTAAATGTCAATTTCAGTTATTTGGTTATGCCCTAGAGTACTCATCAAGCATGCCAAACTTCTCTGATGAACAAAACCTCTACCAAAACAAGATTAGTTTTCTTGGAGATTCACAGTCATGTGTAATTGTATTTTCCAGCTTTGGGTAGTTAAAACCTAAACAGTATTTTCTAGAAAAGTTACAGTAAAAAAACTGCTCTGGCTATAGTGTGACCAACATTGTCAAATGACAACAGTTAATGCAACACACATGTGCACACATACGCACGCACATACACACACAATTTGTTATATAGACCTAGTTTAGAGTGTAAAATATCATGATTACAACTCTGCTTGAAAAAAAAGAAAATTTATAGCTCCAATGTATTTTAAATTAGATATTTTGTTTTAACTATATGGTAACAAAGTTTGTTTTTTTAATTTACTACGTTTACATTAAAAAAACATTTTAAGCATCATTTAGAAATAGCATTCAAACTAAAGTACTAATTATAATTGAGAACCAACTTATTTTTACAAGAATAAAAATGTATGCAGATGTGTTTGACACAACCAAAAAAAATTAATTTTGCATATTTGTATTTTCCATTCTTGGAAGGATTGTTTGCAGTTGTATACAAAAGAACCTTTCTTTGTATAATTTTCTATATATCTTTTATACAAATAAATGTCAGTATGTACCATATTTAAAGTCTGCCCTGAATATACATGTGCATTGTAGTGAATACACAGTTCGAACCCAGTGTCATGTACATAGCCAACAAAGGAACCAATCAAGTTTCACAAACTATATAACTTGTATAAAGATGTATAGAATGCAGATATTAAAATTTTACTATATTTCTTGTCAAACAGAAGTAAAATGTTGAATTAAGCAAAATAAAATTGTATATTTTGTTTTTTAGTATTTCTTAATCATTAAAAATTTATGGTTTTAAATACCATTAAGATTTGACAGTAAACTCAAGATTTTATTTCAAGAAATTTTATCTCGTCCTACGTTTGAACTTTCAGGAGTAAAGGTGACTCTCTATGTATTCTGTCGTCGCTTTAAATCAAGTAGCCTTCAGGCCCTCTCTCAAGATCATAGAAATGATGTTTTGTCTAATACTGTAGCCTTAGTTTGTGGATACATAGGTAACAAAGATATTTTTAATAACTTAATAAATAATTTTAATTCATCCTGTCTAGAAATGGTGTTTTGAATATTTAAACATTTACTCTATTCATAAAGTAAAGAGTGACTGTATCCTATAAACGTGAATTAATGAAGAAGAAATTTGATGAATGTTATGTTGAAATTTTGACAAAATGTTGTGTTCAATTAATAATATTAAATACCAATTATTTAATAATAAGCTCTATACCACGGTTATCTGATAATTGAATTTTTAAGTAATATTAGCTGTCGTAAGGCTTGTTATATCAAGCGAAGCTTTATATTATTTAATCACATATATAAGGGTTGTGTAATTCTTCATTAGTTTCTTATCTCCTTCATTATAAAAGAATGTTAAGTTTATCTGGTTATATCTAGCACTGAGATTTCTTCATCTTCAACAGATATTTCAAAACCTGTATGCACTTCACCATTAGTTAAATAATTACCAAACAGGTTCCATTAGTGTAGAATAATCCAATAGGGGAATGTTGAAGAGAAAGAACATTACATCACATATTTGTCACCTTGGAAATTGTGTACGTGTATTTATAATGTAATATCAAATGCTTAAGACTATTTTATACCAGAAGTATGCTATTTTTACACACTTCTAGTTTGAAATTGTGGGCTAAATAAGAGAAATGCTATTTCATATACATTCACAAACATTTTATGGCGTAATAAAAACCTGCTTGCTCACTAAATTAGCCATTTTATACCTCAGAAGCAAGTTTTTTTTTTGTACTGAAAACAAATTGCAGTTTAGATAAGCTTTAGATTGATATGGGTCTAACCCAAATGATGACTTCAGGTGCTGAATGAAAGTAATCTGTGTAAGGCATTTTGACAGACAAAAGACAAATTTGAAATGTAGTTTTTACACACCTCTGATATGAAAGAGCAATGTACTAAAAACATCTTCAGTTAAAAATAATGTCCATATCACTTGTTAGTCCACGTTAACCTTCTTGTTTTATCTGCTTCAAAAAAGTATTTTTCTATGGATACTGTTGACAAGAGCTATTATGCTGTACATTAGAAGGAACTTAGCAGTGGGTCACTATGCTATATAGCTAAGTATGACTGCAAATGTAAATGACATAAAATAATAAAATTGTTAAAGTATACAATACCAATTAAAATAAAGAATAATTACAATATGCATTGGCAGTTGGAATCGGAATTGTTCCACTGCTATGAATATCAAAACTTAAGTTGGCTAAAATAAAAAGGATGTTCTTAATGGTCAAAAAGTAGGTCTTCACAGGTTAAAAAGTATATCTGAATATTTATAAAAAATGAGAAAATAAACCAAACTAGATGGATATTAATCACAACTGCTAATTATGAAAATATCTTTTTTACACCAAAGGATACAACTGCTGCTGTAGTATTGACTATGTACAGTAGCAGTACTAAATTTTACAAACAAATGTTTTGTATAGATTAGTATAATTCATTAAGTTAAAAATAGTAGAATTTCTTTAGAAAGTCATTAGCTACTATATCAAATACTGTTACAAAATATGCAGGATATGAAGTTTGGAGGTTTGCTGACCCACTTGGTGCTATCATAATCAGCTTGTATATTATTATTAGCTGGGCTGTAACAGGTTGGGGTAAGTTTCTTTTGTTTGTTTTGTAAGAATAAATAGAATAATGGGGTATATCTATGCTATCAACATCTTGGACAGGTTTTAAGATTCAAATAATTACTAAATTGAAAGATACAGTTAGCATAAATTGTTAAGCAGTTGTCGTTATTTTCATCTTTATGTGCTATTAGACTTTATACCAAATTGAAAAAAGCTTCCAGAGTTCATTATTGTTTTTAATGCAAAATAAAATTTTAATAGATTAATAGAAGGTTATTAATCTTAACTGTATTCTTTCTTCAGCTCATATGGACATCTGGGGATTAATAAAATTTTAAACATTTCTTTCAGTTAAATGATTTTTCAAAGAAGTTTGTAATACTGTAACGACAATGTAGAGTAATAATGTTTTAACTCTTACCTACAGTTGTTATATAGGTCACCTGTTCACATGCCAGAATCTACATGTATCTAGTAGCAAAAGAAATTATACTTATTAACAACAGGATTCATAAAGAAACTATTTATATCATTGCACATTTCTTATATTACAGGTGCTGATGTTTTAATCATCTTTCCAATTAATATCTACAAATATTTTACCATTTCTAGACTGAATCTTTTGGGTAGCTTTTAGGAACAGACTAACCTCTTTGAAAAAGTAAAATAATTTGAAAGTACATGTGGAACACATTTTAAATGCTGTAAGTAAGGTTGTTACCAAAAATAATAATTTCAAGGTAAATTTTAAATTAACATTTTAATCTCCCCAAAAAATATCAGGAAATGTATTTATTTTAGAGAGTCTTCATTTCATCTCACACCACATTGTGAAGAAAGTTTAATTATCATAGCACCATCTCCTTCTGTTATCTTGGCTATTAAATCAGTTTGAAATGTTTACAACTACTCTGTCAACATTCTGTGGTCTTATTAAATATATTTTATAACTAGATAAGCTAATAATGAAAATACTTTTTTATTTTTACACCATAGTTAAGTAAATAGAGATAAAAGCACAACTGTACCCAATGCTTTTGAGAAACAATGGTTTTCTTCTTCAAGGGAGTGATAAACTGTACAAGAATATGAACACTAATGAAGTCTGAAATTTGAAATCATATGTCACATAGCTGCACCTGCATATTAAAAAATACTTAATCCATTTGCACGACAAACTGATTTTAACCCTTTTGAGATGGATCACGGGTGAAAGGCCATGTCATCTCGTTTGTTGACTTGCATTCAAAATTTTATTGAACTACTATTTCAT